ACACACGACATTATGACTGATCATGCTGGTGATAACACACGACGTTATGACTGGTCATGCTAGTGATAACACACGACATTATGACTGATCATGCTGGTGATAACACACGACGTTATGACTGATCATGCTAGTGATAACACACGACATTATGACTGATCATGCTAGCGATAACACACGACGTTATGACTGATCATGCTGGTGATAACACACGACGTTATGACTGATCATGCTAGTGATAACACACGACGTTAAAACTGATGATGCTAGTGATAACACACGACGTTATGACTGATGATGCTAGTGATAACACACGACGTTATGACTGATCATGCTAGTTATAACTAAACATCAGGTGTTTATAATCTCGCTAGGCCTACTTTGCACTCGTTAACTGAAGAGAGTACAGAGACACGTACCTGCGGGTATTATGTTAAAGACGCAGGGTTCACTCTGAATCCCAATTTTGTTTTCTCCCCAACACAACAAAGTTCCAAAGTCCTCGTCTGATTCGATGCTGTAAGATGCTACACTTCTTAAGGCGCTTTCGACAGAATGAAAAATCTTGTCTGTTACTTTAGTTGAACTGTTGAATCGCCAAAAAAACTTGATATCTTTCGGGTCAGCGTCTAGGTGACACTGGACTTGGACACTTTCTGAGTTTAAGACTCCATAAACGGATTTCTGGGATGGCTGACAAACTGGAGAGTCTGAAAATCGGAGAAATAATCTTTATGGAGACAATTTCTTGGCCTTCTTTAATATTCTCACTTAATACAAAGCTAGAAATTCAAACAAATTATCTATTTTTTAATTATTATTATCACAAAATAAAGAACTGTTAATTACTATCTGAGATTTTCTCATGACAGACTGATTACAAATCTTATTTGCTATGAAATGTAATTAATAATAGATGGAGTTACTTGGTGTGAAATCTCATTATGATGGGTTATTGTTATAAAGTATAATTAGAAACCGATTGTGTTATTTTGTGTGAAATCTCATTATAAATGGGTTATTGCTATAAAGTATAATTAGAAACCGATTGTGTTATTTTGTGTGAAATCGCATTATAAATGGTTTATTGCTATAAAGTATAATTAGAAACCGATTGTTAATTACTATCTGAGATTTTCTCATGACAGACTGATTACAAATCTTATTTGCTATGAAATGTAATTAATAATAGATGGAGTTACTTGGTGTGAAATCTCATTATGAGTGGGTTATTGTTATAAAGTATAATTAGAAACCGATTGTGTTATTTTGTGTGTAATCTCATTATAAATGGGTTATTGCTATAAAGTATAATTAGAAACCGATTGTGTTATTTTGTGTGAAATCTCATTATAAATGGGTTATTGCTATAAAGTATAATTAGAAACTGATTGTGTTATTTTGTATGAAGTGTGATCAGAAGCTGATTGTGTTCGTTTGTTTTTTGGTGTGAATTATCAGACATTTCATAGTTAAGTCCGTGTTAAATATCTTAATAAATTATGAATTAAGAAATATATGTTAGCTCATCTCATTTTACACTAAATCTTTCAACAAATAATTCACCTTTTAAGACATTACTAGAATTCGGAAAACATGACGCCATTTTGTCAGGTTTCGCATACGTTAAGAGTTTATTCTGAAAAAAAATATATCAAAATTAGTAGTAGTAGATTTACTTTAAGCAAACAATTTAATACCTATTCCAGAGGCTCCCCTACCGGTTGAAAACTGTACTGTGTTTAACAGGACGGAAGAGATGATACTAGTAGAATGTCTGGAAGGATTTAACGGTGGACTGGATCAAACATTTATCATGGAAGTGTACACTGAAGAAACTAAGACTCTTTATGCTAAGGTTTCTTCTCAAGTTCCGATCTTTCTGGTGAATGGATTAACTCAAGGAACAGTTTTCTTGCTATTGATTTATGCGGTGAATCGTAAAGGTCGAAGTTCGGTGGTCCAACTTTCAACCAGCACTGTACGACAAGCAGAGAAGTTAACCAGTAGGATTGTGTTTTCTCTTTCTTGTAAATGTTGTAAGAAGTCTGACACAGAACTTAACCTGCATACAAATCAACGTAGATATAACGTCCTTGTTCCTTAGTATATTCCACAGTAGACTTAACGTCCTCATTCATTAGTATATTCCACAGTAGACTTAACGTCCTTGTTCCTTAGTATTATCCATAGTAGACTTAATGACCTTGTTTCTTAGTATATTCCACAGTAGACTTAACGTCCTTGTTCCTTAGTATATTCCACAGCAGACATAACGTCCTTGTTCCTTAGTGTATTCCATAGTAGACTTAACGTCCTCATTCCTTAGTATATTCCACAGTAGACTTAACGTTCTTGTTCCTTAGTATATTCCATAGTACACTTAATGTCCTTGTTTCTTAGTATATTCCATAGTAGACTTAACGTTCTCATTCCTTAGTATATTCCACAGTAGACATAACGTCCTTGTTCCTTAGTATATTCCACAGTAGACTTAACGTCCTTGTTCCTTACTATATTCCACAGTAGACTTAACGTCCTTGTTCCTTAGTATATTCCACAGTAGACTCGACGTCCTTGTTCCTTAGTATATTCCATAGTAGACTTAATGTCCTTGTTTCTTAGTATATTCCACAGTAGACTGAACGTCCTTGTTCCTTAGTATATTCCACAGTAGGCTTAACGTCCTTGTTGCTTAATATATTCCACAGTAGACTTAACGTCCTTGTTCCTTACTATATTCCACAGTAGACTTAACGCCCTTGTTCCTTAGTATATTCCACAGTAGACTTAACGTCCTTGTTCCTTACTATATTCCACAGTAGACTTAACGTCCTTGTTCCTTACTATATTCCACAGTAGACATAACGTCCCTGTTCCTTAGTATATTCCACAGTAGACTTAACGTCCTTGTTCCTTAGTATATTTCACAGTAGACTCGACGTCCTTGTTCCTTAGTATATTCCACAGTAGACTTAATGTCCTTGTTCCTTAGTATATTACACAGTAGACATAATGAGCGTGTTCCTTAGTAAATTCCACAGTAGACTTAACGTCCTTGTTCCTTAGTTTATTCCACAGTAGACTTAACGATCTTGATTATTTGTATTCGACAAGTAATGATTGATTTGTTTCTTGTTACTTTCCCACAGTAGATAAAGCAGTCTTCTTTTTTTTATCGTTCAATATCATATTTAATAATGTTGTTTTATATATACTATTCAAGAGAAGATAATTATATTGTCTGATAAACAACATATAACAATATACGTTCCACAGTATTTTCCAGAGCTCTGTGTGTTGTAAAATATTATTGTATTTAATAATGTTGTTTTATATATACTATTCAAGAGAAGATAATTATATTGTCTGATAAACAGAGCTCTGTGTGTTGTAAAATATTCTTGTCACCAATTTAGATAGAAGCACTCGTTGCTGATCTAAAAGTTACAGTTGTTCATTCATCCATCCTGTTTTCCAACTGTTCATACTCCTCCTCAATCATTAGATACTGCCAAGTGTTTCATGCTTAAGTTAACATCTTCGGGAAGCTGCTGTCCAGAGTTTGAAATTGTTTATTTATCGTGTCACATATTTTCATAAACGAGTTAACGATTTCTGATATTTTTGCTGTACTTCTCGTGAAATTTATTACATAGTTTGCTCTATTTTTATCTTTTGTCTGTTCTTTTTCAAGGAGAAAGAGCAGGAACGTTTGTTTTCAACCCAGTATTAACAGTATTTATCACTATGACGATAGCCTTGATCACAGTGATTTTCATCCTGGTTGTTGTAGTGAAGATAAGGAAGAGAGCCATGTTGAAAGGTAGGCCTATTATCACTACACTTTTTAACTCAGTTTAAACTTTTATGGTTATGGAGATTTTAGAACCAGCCAAAGCACAAGCTATCTTCCTTCCTACCTCCTGAGCTTTGACAGTGAGGTACCGAGATAGTATGACGCCGTCCCTAATTTCAAACCACCAGCCACAGGGAGGCGACTGGTAGGCTATTGCCATATTCAATATATTTTGTATATACATATTTTTATTAATATAATGATTTGACTTATCTTTTTTTACACCAAGTTATCCGAAGTAACTAAGAGGGAATTACGTTTTTAATGAGATCATCAGGAAGAAAGAATCGAATCACAAATTGCACAAGAATCTTTATTAGCAAACACAACAACACAGTCACGGATAAAATGGTAAACGATGGCAAGTATATCTGTGTTGGAATGGCAAGATAGAAAGGAACCCCCCCCCCCCCATAAGCTAAACTAGAAACGTGTAATATTTGAGCCTCAAAGTTAAAATAAAACAATGTATCGCACCAAAAATTAGAATAAAATAACATACTAAAATTATAAAACAAAGTTAAAGTTATGATAAAAATGGAAAGGTCTTCCTAGCATTGTAATTCCGTTACATTATAGATACCACTTCAAAGTAAAGCCGTGCAAAACCCCAGACCATTACCAGATTCACTGACAGGAAAACAGTTTTCTCATTCCCGTAACGTCACGTGACATCTTCCTTGCAACGAATAAGGTTAACTGCCAATTAGCAGACGAGGAAGTTCCGCATAAAGCTAGAAAGAAGCAAAGTTAAGATATGTTTACTTGAATGACTTTCCATGTCCAAACTGATCTGAAAAAATACAGAAATTTCGAAAAAATGTATACATTAACCAAGGAAGTAAAAAAAAATACATGGTACTATTCTGTATGTTATGACTAAAACTAAACTTACATTTTTTTAACAAACCTAGACCTAAACGTGGAGTAAGCATTGGTGGAGAGAATGTTGCAAATCTGAGATATGCAGATGACACTGCTTTGATAACAGAAACAGCAGAAGGACTACAGTAGAATGTAGATGAGGTCGAGATAAGAAGCACAGAATTTGGACTCAGAATGAACGTCAAAAATACAAAGACGATGATACTAAGCCGGGAACATCAAGACATGGAAAGGATAAACATCATAGTCTACCTGGAACAGGTGATGGGATTCACATATCTAGGTTCAAATCATTATGGCAGATGATAAATGTGACACAGAGATAAGAATACAAATAGAAATTGCAAGAAATGCCTTATGCAAAATGAGAGATATCTTGGCAGCAGAAAGCATTAGCGTCTAAACGCAGAAGAGATTAGCTAGATGCTATGTACTGTCTACTTTTATATGTGCTGGTGAAACGTGGACAATCAACAAGGATATGGAGGAGAAGATCAATGCATTTGAAATGTGGATGTTGAGAAAAATGCTGAGAATATCTTCCAAAGACAGAGTCACCAATGAAGAGGTACTTAGAAGGATCAAAGCTAGAAGAACATTAGATAATACATTAAAACAACAAAAGTGTAGATATTATGGTCGTGTGGTCAGAGAGCAGGCAATACAGAGAACATTACTGGAGGGCAAGACCGATGGAAAGAGACAAAGGGGGAGACCAAGAAGGAATTGGATGAAAGACATATGTGAATGGGTAAAACTGAACTATACAGGATGCGTCAGAGCAGAACAGGAAAGGAAGACATAGCACGCCATGACGTCAAACCTACTGTAAGGGGATGCCAGCTCCAGATCCAGACCAAGTGTAGTTCATAGTTGTGTCCACTCTCATTAGCTAATGTTTACTCAGCAGATATGAACTGAGTCGAAAATGTTTGTCTAGTGTAATCTGACATTGGATGTGAAAGTTTGTTTCATAAAGTTGGACTTTGGGGAGAGAAATTAATTGGCCTAGTGTAGTCACGTGACGTTAAAAAGACTTTTGGGCGAAGTAGCTTCTTTGGTGTAATCTGACTTTGGGCAAAGTAGCTTGTTTGATGTAATCTGACTTTGGGCGAAGAAATGTTTCCAGTATAAAATGAATTAGGGCGAAAAAGTTTGCCTCGTGTAGTCTGACTGTGGACCTGAGAGCTTGCATTGTGTAGTCTGACTGTGGACCTGAGAGCTTGCATTGTGTAGTTTGACTGTGGACCTGAGAGCTTGGATTGTGTAGTTTGACTGTGGACCTGAGAGCTTGCATTGTGTAGTTTGACTGTGGACCTGAGAGCTTGCATTGTGTAGTCCGACTGTGGACCTGAAAGCTTTCATTGTGTAGTCTGAATGTGGACCTGAAAGCTTGCATTGTGTAGTCTGACTGTGGACCTGATAGCTTGCATTGTTTAGTCTGACTGTGGACCTGAGAGCTTGCATTGTGTAGTCCGACTGTGGACTTGAAAGCTTTCATTGTGTAGTCTGACTGTGGACCTGAAAGATTGCATTGTGTAGTCTGATTCTGAGCAATATATTTTACCTAGAACAGTTGAGGAAACAATCTAATACATTGATTAAAAAATGACAAATTCAATTATATTTTATAACTTATAAATCAGAAGTCTTTGTTCTTTTCTACCAGATGGCAGCCCAGTTAGAACATCCCGGCGTTTCTTTGGTATTAATTAATATAAAAAACACAGAAGAACAAACTACAAACATCTGTCATAAAAACAGTTTTTAATTCTTATTGATGTAATAGCAAAACAGAAAAACACATTAAATATCTATCGTAATAACACTTTATGTTATTGTTGGTATAAGAACATAGAGCACATGAAAACACACTAGTTTCAAAACCTGTAAACTCAAATACTTTCGAAGAGTGAATCGTTATTTATTAGTAAATATGTATTTAGCACTAAGAAGTGCATGTCTGAACTATATATATATATATATCTACCTGTCCGATATATTACTGAAGGCTTGGCCCGGCATGGCCAGGTGGTTAGGATACTCGACTCGCAATCTGAGGGTTGCGGGTTCGAATCCCCGTCCCATCAAACATGCTCGCCCTTTCAGCCGAGGCGGCGTTATAATGTGACGGTCAATCCCACTATTCGTTGGTTAAAGAGTAGCCCAAGAGTTGGCGGTGGGTGGTGATGATTAGTTGCCTTCCCTCTAGTCTTACACTGCTAAATTAGGGACGGCTAGCGCAGATAGCCCTCGTGTAGCTTTGCACGAAATTAAAACCAAAACAAACTGAAGGCTTATATTGATGATTGTGTAGTGACGTCATGTAGTTCTATAATATTCTCGACACCAGAGATGTGTTTTAGTTTTTAACTATACCTGAAATTCGTTTTTATTTCTCACTCATTTTTATTTCATAGCATCTCAACAAAAGGAGGACAGGAAAGTCAAGTGAGTGTTTCCTTATTTTATATCAATGTTAAGTAGAGATACACATTTTTTAACTTTCTTCAAGATTCAGTAATTTTGTGATTTGTTAAATATTATCTTCGTATTTTTTGGTTCATTATTGATTAATATAACATGTTTAAAACTGTTACAGGTCTGAAACCCCATTGCAGAAGCCCGTGGAAGATGTGGATGATGGTCCAGATATTATACCAGCCAAAATCTTGAACAGGAAACTCTTATTATGTGGGAAGCCATCTTACTGTTTTATTTCACGATCAAAAGACATGAATTATTTCAATAACAAAGTTGAGAAAGAAAAAAGGATCAACAGAATATTAGATAAAAAGAGCATTGTTATCGATGTACCTTTAATAGCCAAAGTTTTATTTTGAAATTTCGGTGATAAGTACTGGAAAAAAAATCTAATGTCATTGCATCTATTGGGATTATGGCCGAAATTGTCGATAATAGCGAGAGTAATTAACTAGTGTGTCAATATAAGTTTTTGCTTTAGACAGTGATTTAAAACACGTTTTATTTTGAAATTTCGGTTATAAGTACTGGAAAGAAATCTAATGTCAATGCATCTATTGGGATTATGGCCGAAATTGTCGATAATAGCGAGAGTTATTAACTGGTGTGTCAGTATAAGTTTTTGCTTTAGACATTGATTTAATATTAGTTTTATTAGCATTTACGATTCAAAATATAAATAAAAAAGCTAACCTTTGTGTCTGTTGGTTAACCCATCATGTACGATTTTTTCACAGAATCTGAATTCGAGATTAGTTAAGGAACATAAAATCGAAATAAAAATTTAAAAACTTAAAACTTTTGAAATCCCTAAAGAAGAACGGTTGAGTTGTTCTAAACACGTAGAATATTAAATGTTAATTTTTATTATATATATATATATATATATATTCTGTGAGTTATTCTAATAGTGAATTGAAATTGAGCAAAAAATTTATACATGTTGTATATTTTGTTCACGATATAATTTTACAACAACCGTTTTCGCCACCAGGTTACGATCATGATCCGGATGAGAAACCCCCGAGTCATGGGGTGCTAGTTTTCTCTGATACGACATACGAGAGCCCCGCCCATAAATTCGATGTGAGAGCAGAGACTTTAGCGTTACAGAAAATACCTTCATTTTGTGTAAGTTTTGCAGATAAGTCAATCTCATTCTCTCGTCCCGAGTCTTTGTCTATTGGTTCACGTGTCGGGCTGCGGAGTGGAGAGTTGGTAGTTTGAAACGTCATATCGTTGAACACGGTCCACACTTCCAGTTATGGATAACGGTTAATCTTGTTGCTCGCTATAAGTACCTAAATACCGGAAGTAGCGATCGAATATCAACCGTTGTCATGGTTACTTGCCTATACGATCATCTTAGCCCAAATGTTAATTAGTAGCTACTAATATTTAACTAGCTTCGTCCCTCGATTTGGCTACTAATCTGCTGGAGGCATCAGAGGAGTCCTGAGAAAAACAATGTCTATATCGTGGTGGTTCCCATTGGTTAAACAGTAAGCTTGAAATTTGTTGTAGATCGCCTCTGACATCACTTTGTTGTGGGTCGACTTGGTTACGATCATACTATACCTGCACATTGCTTTCTCTGCAAGCTGTACTTATTGCTATCGAAAAGTAGCTCATACCAAATTTACACATAATGAATTTCTGTTTTTTATTATAATACCAATATCACATAAGAAAATAAGGTTCTGTTTCTTATTGGCAATATCATACTTTCTTCCTCGCCTCTCTCTCAGTTTATCAATTCGCTCTCACATCACCCGGTTTCTTTTTTTTTCTTTTATTCTGTTAACACACCTGTTTTCCGTAATTAGGATTATAACGCTAATTTTACTATAATGGGCGTAGCGTGTATGTCAGTATCTATGTGTGTAACCCAAACTCCTGCGTCATCTATCGAGTGGCACCACAAACAAAAATTCATAAAATTTTCACACTTTGGGTATTCAAGATTCAGACAATTAGAAAAATCACAAACTCCACAGCAGTTAAACAAGAAAGGTACTCAATCCCTCCAATAATTCTCTAACCACTTAGTGCTGTAATCTCCTAATCCCTTAGGTACCAACCAAAATGTCCGCTTTCTCACCACTCTCAAAATCAACCGATTCGTACCCCGAACTTCTTAACAAGATTTTAGAAATCATAATTTCAGGGCTCGATTCCTGCGCTAGGCATAACGCAGATAGTACGTCACATGGCTTTTTTGCTTAACAACAAACACACTGTGGACCTAGAGGGCGGGAGGTGTCGGCCCAGTAGACAGCGCCCCAGCTCCCTTACGAAGACCCAGAGTTGAATCTTAGCCTCCACAAATTAGAGACACAGTCCTTTTCTGAACTGCCTGAAAGTCAGCAATAGATTAACAGCCGAAACAGCATGAGATATAAACTAGTTAATAAATACTATCTTAAGAAATTGTAATAAACGATAATAAAGTCAGGTGATTGTATAGATTAATAATAATGACAACAATTTATAAGCACGTATTTGCCAGAGCATAACACGTACAGGTAACAACGCATTACCTTGTAAAATGTAGCGGCTGGTTCTGGTCACAGATAGTTTAGGATTAAAGATACAGGTAACAACGCATTACCTGGTGAGATGTAGCGGCTGGTTTGTATCTTTAATCCTAAACTATCTGTGACCAGGATAGCAACGCATTACCTGGTAAAATGTAGCGGCTGGTTCTGGTCACAGATAGTTTAGGATTAAAGATACAGGTAGCAACGCATTACCTGGTAAAATGTAGCGGCTGGTTCTGGTCACAGACAGTTTAGGATTAAAGATACAGGTAGCAAGCAAGAGGGTAACAAGGTAGCAAGAAGGTAGCAAGCAAGAGGTATAACATTCATAAGGTTTTTTGTTTTGTGTTTCAAGTAGAATAAATATTGTTTGTTTGTTTTTGAATTTCGCGCTAAGCTACACGAGGGCTATCTGCGCTAGCCGTCCCTAATTTAGCAGTGTAAGACTAGAGGGAAGGCCACTAGTCATCACCACCCACCGCCAACTCTTCGGCTACTCTTTAACCAACGAATAGTGGGATTGACTGTCACATTATATCGCCCCCACGGCTGAAAGGGCGAGCTGGTTTTTTGGGACGGGGATTCGAACTCGCGACCCTCAGAATGCGAGTCGAGCGCCTCCTAACCACCTGGCCACCGGGCCTAGCTCACAAGTAAACAGAGGAAGTCGCAAAGAAATGTTTACGTTTTCAGAAATAAAGTAAAATATTCTTGAAGTATTGTTCTTGCTTTGAAGTATTGTTCTTGCTTTGAAGTATTGTTCTTGCTTTGAAGTATTGTTCTTGTTTTGAAGTATTGTTCTTGCTTTGAAGTATTGTTCTTGCTTTGAAGTATTGTTCTTGCTTTGAAGCATTGTTCTTGCTGTATTTCATCATCATCATCATCATTGTTTCACTTTTATTTGCTATACAGCCTGAAGAAAAGGAACAAAAGCACGCGATACTTTCTGAAACAAACCAAAACTCCAGAAGTCAAGAGAAGAGCTTAGATTTCATTACACAGGACTACCGTACGGAAGAATCAGAAACCACCGAGCACGTGCTGAACAAGAAACAAGAAAGTGTGGTCTAATGATCAGTCCTTGTTCTCTACGGACAAGTAAGTTTGGCACTTATAACTATAAGTTGAATCAAACGCTAAAGACCTAATCATTGCCGTGGTTGGTAACCCCAATCCTCCTCCAAAGTCGAATTACTATTTTTATTGTTAATTAATTTATGTTCAACATTTTGACTGATAACCTAATGCTGTGCTGAGGACTGTATGTAGTGGTGGGAGTCAGAATTAGATCCAGGGACTTCTCTTTTTTTTACTAACTCTGATAACAACTGATATCCGATCATCATAACCTTACTGCAAGTTCTGGAGTCCTAAACAAGATTTCAGGACTTGCTGGAATACTGAAACGCATTGACTTCAACCTGATACTTGTTTTAATTTAAATACATTTTCTTAACCATGATGCTCTAGTATTAAAATGTGAGTCTTTTGTTCTATAAAACGATGATTGAACGAAACCACCAGACTATTAGATCTTTATTAACACACGTAAAAGGTTGTTTTGTAAAAGTTCTATAAAACGATGATTGAACGAAACCACCAGACTATTAGATCTTTATTAACACACGATTTTACAAAACAACAACAATACCAGTTGACTTGCAAAGCTAAATAATTGTAACTCATTTGCTTTTCCTTTTCTCTTCGGTGTACTAATGGTAGCGATGTTCGTTCTCTTTCTATGTATCTTTAGGGCCTCACTTTTTATGGATTTTGATCTACTCAACACTTGGATCTCTGGAAAAGACTGCTCGTGACACTGTTATGTCCCTCTCTTTCTTCTTCATTTTATCAGAACTCTGGCAACGTAACAGACAAACAGCATACCAGGCAAGGATGATAAGTGGAAATACTGGGTCTAACAGTTCAGTGTTTGTCAGTTGTTTCTTCTTGAATCCAGATTTTATGTAAAATCCTGTTTTTGTGAAAATTGCGTATCTGAGAGACCAATAAAATTAAAATAATTTGGCAAAATTCTTTTTTGATTGAATAATTTGATACCTAAACATCATTTCCTAAGTCCTAAGACATCAGCTTCTAAAGAATTTCGTGGCAAAAGAGAATCTTGAAGTAATTATTTTTGTTAACCGATTTGAGTGCTTGATAAACGTTAAGTGTGATTCTTTTGGTCTCCATACATCTGACTTACACGATTGATTATTTCATTAACTTGTTTGTTGATTTATATGTTCTGAATTTTGCTAAATGATACTCGAGGGCTACCTGCTCTAGTCGTCCCTAGTTTTGAAGTGATAGACTAGAGAGAAGGCAGCTAGTGAATACTACCCACCGCCAGCTCTTGGGCCACACTTTACAAACGAATAGTGGGATTGACTGATACATTATAATGCCTCCACGACTGAAAATGTGAGCATGCTCGTTGAAAGGATTCGAACCCAGAATGCGATCCAAGTGCCATAACCACCAAGCCAGGCCTGGCATGGCATGGCCAAGTGATTAGGGCACTCCACTGGCAATCGGAGGGTCGCGGGTTCCAATCTCTGTCCCACCAAACAGTCCCCCGGTGGGATAGCGCTAAGTCTTGGGATTTACAACACTAAAATCAGGGGTTCGATTCCCCTCGGTGTACACAGCAGTTAATCCGACGTGGCTTTTGATATAACAAAACACAAACCTCAACAAACATGCTCGCACTTTCAGCTGTGGGAGCGTTATAATGTGACGGCCATACCCATTATTCGTTGATAAAGGGGTAACCCAAGAGTTGGCAATGAGTGGTAATAACTAGCTGCCTCCCAAGGGTTAGCTGCTCCTAATTTTGAACTAGTAGACAAGAGGGAAGACAGCTAGTTAGCAGGACTTACCGTTACTCTTATACTGCTGTACAGGAACTAGGGATTTGTACCTATAGCTCCAGAGTGCGAAGCTCGTATATATATAGTTATATATTTTAAACAAAAATTATATGATAGCTTAGCTCCACCTTTATTAATCCATAAGAGTGTTCAAGAGAACATTTTCCCCATTAAATCAGTTCAACCTATAGTTAGGTTTAAATATAATAAACCTATAGGATCTCTTATCTTGAACTATAAAAAATTAATTGAAAAATTTAATTCAATAGAAGTTAATAAATTGCCTTGTAATTTTAAGGACCCTTTTCACAATCATATAATTACAGGTAATTTAGAGGTTATCAAGAACAAGGAATTACAATTAGTATTGGAAAAAGGCCCTAATTCCAAAACCTTAAAAAAAAGACTAAAAAAATGTTAAATCTTAAAAGATTTTGAAAAAATATTGATAATTATTTTATCAATTGGAGATAATAATAAATTGTCCTTGAACTTTTTACATCCTGCTTTATCAATCGGGATAATAATAAATTATCCTTGAACTTTTACATCCTGCTTTATCAATTG